CTGTTACTGTCCTTGTCTAAATGTATTTTTACTGTCTAAATATATGTATTCAGCTAGTGTAAACATGCATGATGCTATCACAGCAAATGAGAGGCTGAGACTGAAGCTTTACCCTTTGTTTCCGCTGAGAGACGTGCTGCGTGACTCATTTCCCCCCGCGTACAAGTTATCTTAGGTCGACGTTCACGGTTTGACTTCTGAGATTCAGATCGAGCTCTAGGTAATTTTTTTTCAAACTGGCTGGTTCAACTTAAATTCGAGTTCTAATGAGTTCGAGAACTGAGGTACCACTGTAAACCGAACAGCGTACTTAAATCTAGCATTGGAAAGTTTTTTACGGTCAAACTCCGGGCCTTGCCTTGGTCTTCCAGCCAAGGCCCAGAGATAATAAGCTTCACGAGCTTCAGCATGATATAGAGCAACATGCTCCTTCCAACCAGGTCTAATGTTATACGTCCTACTACCCTTATATTGTTTGTGAAAAATTTTACCCCCATCAAACAGAGCAGCCACTACATCCTCATACATGCAACAGAGATCTCTCTTGTGCTCCTCAACCTGACAGTTGACATCCCTACACAAAAGAGCTACTCTAGGTAAATAAATATTACTTAAATATTTATCTGTTGCTATAATAAACCGAGAAGTCCTCTTTAGTGAGAATTGACCAATCTAATTTTGCAGTGGCAACACCACTGGAAGCATTGTTATTACCAGCTGTTGACGGCAATTTTTCAACATTTATTGAAAAACCAAAAGGTATATGGTCTGTTAGTGCTAGCCCATACCCAATATACATATTCCCTAAAGCTGCATGCCTATCTGCCATGCTAAAACAATGGTCAAGCCATGATGTAGTATGCCAGGCTTCACTTATGTACAGTTATGTGCAAAATAATAGCAGTGTGTTTAACCCCCTGGGGTCTGAGGCCTCTTTTCCACTTTCGGGGTAATCTGACATGCCTTGACATTTTAAAATATTTCACCTATCTAAAAAACATTTATCCCAAAGTGATACATTTGCTTTTATTCAGCACAAACTCAGCACCAATAA